CATTAAGCTCATTATCTAAAATAGTTTGTAGGTAAGAATATCTATTAGATCGTTGTATAGTTAAAGAGAATACTTCTTTAGCTGTCTTCGCAGAAAGTACCCAAGTATGAATAATACAATCACATACGTCTGATCGATGAGAAAAATGTAACCTCTCTTGCATAGATATTAAAAAATCATTTTTAATACTTTTAACAGTTAGGCAACGCTTTAAAATAAAAGGAAAGATCATAAGAATTCTCAAATTATCTGACATCATAAATAAGTGTCGATGAGTAATTGGGTTTGGTAAACGAGACCATTGTGATGGAACCTCAAAATGCTTCCAGTAATTAATTAAATTATTTGCACCATATGATATTAAAATTAAACATGTACAATCGAGCAACCGAGCTACTTTTCCAGCAATTGCATGATATGCATCTTGCGGTATATGTAAATGACGGTCATGCAAAATTGGATCCAATGGTCCGGTAAAATCCGTAATCCGTATTGAGAGCAAAGTCTCAATTTTGCAGTTTTTGAAGTTTGTTGATTTATAAGCTGGAACTCTTGATCCGTAACTTGATGATATCGACCACTATAATAAATATCAAATGAAAGATCCGTCAATTGATCTTTAGTTGCTTTACATGTTTGGCAGCCCCTATACACATTATGATGTAATATTCCAGTGATGTCGTTTCTCTGAGAAAGATCTGAAGTAAAAACTCCTAATCCTCCAGTTATCCAATAATTGGTCCGTTTAAATTTAATGCAAACCTAAAAAAAAAATAAATAAAAAAATAAAAAATAAAATAAATAAAATAAATAAAAAAAATAAAATAAATAAAATAAAACATAATAAAAAATAAATAAAAAACAAATTTACAAACCCTTTTTCAAGTTTCGTAATTTTTTCAAAAAACGGTTTGATAAAGTCTCAGATATTCCCTCCAAAAGGTACAAATCTGATAACAAAGTGATTGCGTAGTTGCTTTCTCATTTGATGTAGCATGTTGCCAATTTGTAAATAAATGCTACCTAAGGAGTGGTATACAGTTCTGAAGGTACCGAAGTCATCATAGTACAAATCTAAGAAGAATTTTAAAACCGGCATCGTTGAATTAGACAGTGGATTTGTTGATATGTATTCAGCCAGATGTTGATTTCAAAATTTAACAGGACGACACTTCCAAGATCCATTAAAGTAGTATAAAATTTCATTGACAGATAGATCAAAAAACGGTGGAGGCGGTTGATCTTTAAGCCAGACTGCAAGTTTTTGTATTAAAAAAGATGGTTCTATAATATGATCATTCATTTCTTCTACT